ATTCTGCCATGTTTTCTGATATAGGAATCGCATGGTTTTGTATAAACTATTGAATCGAGCTTTTCTTTTACGTGAGCCACAGTTAGTATTTTCTTTTGGATTTATAGTACGCGATTTATATCAGCAATTAAATGAAGAAAAGGAAAAATACCAATTAGAGCACTCACATGATCGTCCAGTTATGAAACTGTATCGTGGACAAATAATGTCTTGCCATGAAATTGAAGTACTTATCGATTTCTTAAGCAGTTATGCCCGAGAATTGAACGACACATATATCATAAATAATAGCGTTTTGTCTACTACAGAAGATCGCGATGTGGCAATGGTATTTTTAATACATTCTTCGACGCCTGATGATCAAATTCAAGGTGTTTTATTTGAAACTGAGCTTGATATTCGATTAAAATCTCGTCCTTATGCCGCTATCACACATTTAAGTCATTACGACAAGAGAGAAGTCTTAATCACACTCGGATGCGTATTCGTACTAGATTATTTAAAATACAATGAAAATGAAAAAATTTAGATATGTAAATTAAAATTAATCGATAATCTCGATGATTACGATATCAAAGAATATGAAAGTACAAGTGAACATCGAACTTTAAAAACATGTGTGACTGCACTTCTTCACGATTACAGGAACCCTGAGGTCGAGAAAGGAATTCATATTTTCGACATGTTAACGAGTTTCTTTCCCACAGAAAAATGAATTACAACAGCCAAGTCTTACTTTTTACTATCAACACTCGATAAATCTGAGAATCGAAATAGTCCCAAATATCTTCAAAACTGAATTAATTCAGATGTGGTCGGACTACCTTGACGACAGTGAAATTAATTGTTTTGTTGAAATTTGTGATATCCATCAAAAATATTTTGGTTCATATTATCCTTTTCTTTCAAATAAAACTATAGCCAAAGAACATTATGGACTAGCTATTATATGCTACCAGTTGGTCATCGAAAACACAGCTACGGATTATGAACGAATGAACATATATGAACTATTATTTGTGGTCTATCTATTTCACATGATCAGCTATACGAAAGATAGAAATGAAGAAATAGAATGCATTCGTACCGCTAAACGTAACCTAGAAAACCAAAAGAAGGTGTTCTAAGATACATTTGAGAGTATCTGCATTTGTTACTAATAAGACCCAATTTTTGGTTCTGTGGCATTAGAAATACTCGTAAACGTAACCTAGAAAACCAAAAGAAGATGTTCTAAGATACGGTAATTGGTTCTTATTAGTAACAAAAGCAGATACCCTTCTTTTGGTTTTGTAGGATACCTTTTTTTTTTAGAGAGTACGGCGTAACCAAACGTAACAGACGGAAATTTTTATGTATTGCAACCTGACTATCTCGATAAAAACTAAAGCTATAGACCTGCATTTTTTATCTTGAGTGGCATACAATGCCCTAGTGAACGTACTGAGTGCAGGGTCCTGCAGCAAATACTCCCAGTACTCAAGCAGACAGAACTGCTGGGAAAACACCATTGAAACACCGTTGGTTTTTCATGGAACACAAGGCCAAGTAGATTAAAGTATGCATTTCCTTACTTCTTCCAAGTCCACTTTATCTCTATCGTCCTCGTTTTAAGTGTATCCGTGTAAACCAGTTCATAGACAAAGAAAGATAGGGTAGTTCAACACGTGTTTTTTCTTTGTTTCAAAAAGCTATGAATAGAGAACATAAGAAAAGATGCTTGTTCAAGCTTACACAAACAAATTTTGTTCAATGAAAAAACTATAATAAACACAAGTATCGTTCATCTTCGATTCACTGACCCTTGACTGAAAATGGGTTTTCAGCGATGATTGGGTGTTAGTATGTTAGTAGGCGCTTAGCTTTTTAAAGGGATGAAGAAACAGGAAATTTTTGTTTATTTATGTGTATGATTGCATTAGATCCAATGACATATGACGTGTTGAAGGACATATTTCCTAGGATTTGATCGTTAACATTACGAGGCGTTTACTCATTTTATTTAAACAGAACACGGAAAAGTAGAAGAAAAACAGTAACTGAACTGAAAAACATCTAAAGTGAACTCTATAATAAGAATGTTTACTATTTACACTCGAGATTCA